ATTTACGTCGAACTTCAAATTACTTTTTTTTTTTTTTTGCGATACATCAGTCATTGATAAGAAAATAATCATCCTGTTGTGAAAAATGACGACAATAAAGAGAAAAATGGAACCAGAAAAATTGCACGCAGAAAAAACACCAAAGCGACACACAGATTTACGTGGTTCGACAAAATTTCCTACGTCAACGGAGCTGCAGAGGATTTTACTACTTCGAGGAATCACACCGTCGAGCGCCTCGACGTTTACAAGAAAATCTCTATTTTCTTCTCTCGCTTCCTCTCTCTCTCTTCCTCTCTTTCTCTTAGCTCTCAAGAGGAATTAACTTGGTCTTGCTTGGCTTTACATTTCCTTTAAACCAAAAGAGACTATTTATAGAAATCATGAGAGCGGTAGGTGAGCAGTATGTGAGATGCTTAATTAGTAAGCTAATTAAATTCGGTGGACCGGATCTCCACATTACCTAACACATCCCACTTAAAGCAAAGTGTTATATTATTTGCTTAGAATGAACAAAGCACTATATAATTGTTGTGCATAAAACTGCATAAATATATATTCTTGATATTTTATGTATAGGAAGTTGAATTGATGATATTAAAAAAGATAGTACATTGAATGGTTTCAAAGTTCTACTTCGGGCAGCAACAGATTTAAAAAAAAAATTGTTGCTCAAATGGAAACGGAACTTTTGTCACAGTCTAAAATACAAAATAAGCAGAAAACTATCCCAAACAGACCTATCATTTATATTATTTTTGTGCCCGAGTTGTTGGACATGTCACTTTTTTAGCAATATTTATTATGATAATGGGCCAAATAATACCAAAAATATTAGGTAATATTTCTTTTTTAAAGACCAAAATATAACAAAAGAAGTGATTTAGGTGGCTTCGGAGGACAACTTTGAATGCGGGACAAAAGAAGAGAACGGTTGAGGAAACAAAGGAGTGCTTGATCAAATCAAATAACTTGTAAGAGCAGTTATAATTTTTTTTATTTTGTTACATGATGGAAAATAAAAACTCTATTTTTTTCTTAAATGCACAAAAGTTTGCATGCAATCAATCAATAACATTATGGTATATTATAATAATTAAATTAGTGAATCGAAGAGGTTTTCTCCGAGATTGTTTTGAATGTAATATTAAAAACTTTTAGTTTTAAATTATATAATAGTAAACATTATTAAAGCTTTGGGATAGTTATATACAAAGAACAAGAAATATGGTTACTTACAAGTCAAAGCACCTAGATGATTTTTGAACTATGAAACAGATACATTTACGCGCACGACAATCAAGCTATTGAGAATTTGATCAAAATGAAAAATATGAGTTGAGGTTTTATCATGTCCTTTGATATTTGAGTGATAATTTGAGAAATGAATGAAAGAGAGTGCTTGAATTGTAGATAGCATTAGTTTGGGTGCCCAAAAATAGTTAATCAAATAGAAAATATAATAGTATTTCTTAAAAGATTATATATATATAATATAATAGCATTAGTTTGCACGCACGCACGCACGGAGGTGATACTCGAATTGTTACGCACATTAGGGATGACTGAAAGCTTGTATAATAGCCTCTCGATATATATATATATATATGTACCTAAAGAAATCATATT